TAATAATAATAATAAAAGTAATAATAACAATACAGATCATTTCTATACCGCCAACTTCCGTGCAATACAGCTCTTGGCGGTTTTCAATACCATCATCTTAACACAAATTGTCTTAAATAATAGTGCAAAACAATAAGTAAGCGGATTACAAACAAATAAAAGCAGGGCACTGCCGCACGAGAGTGCAGTCGTTGTCGCTTGCAATCCAGTTATGTCCAAATTTTGAGAAAGCACTTTCCAGAGATGCACCTTTATCATCATCGAAAATTCAGTTTACTGCTATGGTAGAGATTTACAATCTTCTTGCTTTTCGTGATTTTTAATAGGAAGAACTCAACAAAAACTAGATCTAGTTGGAGGGGGGGGGGGTTGTGTCCGGTGTAAAATTACTCAAAGGTACCCAGACGAACTTAAGTGGATCGGTTGCGACACCGACTGTAGCCTATACACTTTGACTTTGACGTGTGTTTTAGTGCGCGTCGGTTTCACACGAAACTCAACGTAGAACCCTCGACACCAAAATTGCGCGTTGCCACTTTCTCGGTGACGTCACGATCTCCCAAGTGTTTTGAGAGCCGCAATGGCCGATGGTGCCTAGCCTAAAGGCAAAAAGCTCTTCGTGCGACGATTGGCGGGGGATCCTTTTTCTGTGTCTATGTATGTTTTGAACAGGTTTGTTGTACATGGCTGATTAGACTATGTAAAGTTCGCCCACCCTTGTCGCTATGGCGGACACAGTGGTGGAGATCGACCGAACGCAAGATACGGTGAGAAAACATGGCCGTAGATCCACCTCTAAAAGTGGCCTTGAAACCAGCCCACAGCTAAGTGAAGATAGAAAAGATAATAAGCGGGCTCCGTGGAACGGTGCTGAACCAGATAAAAAACGTAGACGAAAAACTCAAAACAGATCTCGGTCCTCTGGCAAATTAAGGCGCCATAGGTCTTCCAACGACACGCCCCACAATGAAGTGGTGGAAAGTGTAGAGAGGTACTTGCAACGGCGATCAAAGTCGACGCTATGTGATGAGTTTGGCAACACTGGGGCTAAGGTGGATTTGGCTATCTTCGTAGGGGAGGAATTTCAGCAAGACCAAGCTGATAACAAAACGATCTTTGAGAGAGTTAAGGAAAGAGATACTGCTCGCAAGCAGTCAGCAGACGGGCACGACGAGAAACTCTGCAAACCTATCCGAGAGCCTTCTAAGCCACCTGCAGAGAATGGCTCAGAGGGCGATGGGCAGAAAGTCTCTCCGACATCGAAGGATCATGAACACATTGATTTGACAACCGACTTGTCTCCAGAAAACTCTGTTTCGAAACAAGAAACCAAAAGAGAATCACGCTCCGTGAAGGTCAAGTCAAAACGAAAGAAGCGCCTTTTCAATCAAAGCACGAAACGAGCTCAAGAAGGTGACAGTGATGTCAGTCTAAGCGATGCCGACCAGTCCCCACAAACCTCCTTTGCTCCATACACAGAGGCCACCGGAAAACTGTACACAACTAGAACCCGTTCAGAACCCCCACCTCAAGGTCCGAATCTCAGCGACAACACTAGGATAAAGGAACAAACTGTCATTGGACCCGAAAATGACGTTGTTGCAAAGAAATCAACACATGTCGTGTCTCCTGGAATTTCTCCTAAACAAAAGGAGCGAAAAGACCTCACTAACGAGGACTTACTGTCGACTACCAAGGTTCCCGCCGTGACGGAAAGCAAAGATTTCCCTTCCAAGAACAGCTCACAAATCTCAAATGTAGGTGTCATTGTTGACTCACTCTTAGAAGGTGTGCAGAATCCGCACGTTTCGAAGTCACTAAGTCCCCTGAAGGCAACTCCTACTGAGAGACAAAGCCCTAAAGAAATTGCCTCTCAGCAACAGAAAAAGGCCTCTAGGATCGTTGAGATAATAGGAGCGGAAGGGGCTGAAGTGGGAGAGATTGAGCCACGGGGAAAGACAAAAAACAAGAAGAAAGATAACGAGGATGAAGAGGAGGATGGGGAGGCTGCAGATGAGAAAGCCAAAGGAATTCTGCCTTCGCCTCCTAATAAAAAAGCAGCAGTAGAAAGCAAAAGTGCGTCTTCGTCTCCGTCTTTAGACTCAAGACTACCCTCAAGACAGGAAGGGAAACGGCAGAATGAAAACCCTATAAAAGCTTCTCAACAGCCCCTCTCACCAATCCCAGGCGGCGCTCAAAGCTCGGACTCTATGTTGTCTTCCCCCGGGAGGCCCAAGAAGAAGAAAAAGTCCAAAAAGTCACCGTATTACGGACAGTCGTCATCTGATGAAAAGTTAGCCAAAAGGCGTAGGAGCAAATCGAATGGTTCCAGATGTGCGACACCTGCAGCGTCCAGTAGTGTGTCATTGGCAGCTTCCGACGCCTCGCCTTCGCCGTCACTTGCCAACGACATGAGTCTGCAAGACGTCTCAGAAGAAAAGACTAAACAGGAAGACGTGCGTCCTCAACCGAAAGCTTTTAGGGTCAAGATGAAGAAAAGAAAGCAGGCCAGAGGCAGTGGGGGTGTAGAGATTTCACAGAGTCCCCCACGAACCCCAATTTTCGATGATTCTCCGGACCTTGCCATCGACTCAAGCTCGTCCGCTATCAGTCTAAAACAGCTGAAGAATACGGCTAACGGCGCAGACGAGAAGCAGCCGTGCCCTCAAGGCACTGACTCCAATACCTCGCAAGGAAAGAAGAAAAAGAAAGGCAAAAAGAAACAAAAAGGTGGGGCTGACACAAAGGCATCCGTGTCCCCCGACAGCAGTAAATCCCAAACCTCCAATAAGAGCAGTCCCACGCCATCTCGTGAGACAAGCAAATCGAAAGTAACCGGAAAGAAGAGCAAAAAGCCAGAACAAGACGTCGCAACCACTAAAGCTAAATCTCAGACATCAGTGACCGAGTCTAAGTCAAAGTCGCAGTCGTCCTCCCTCTCGACTGGTCGCTCCAGAGCATGTCCGACTCCGCTGAGACCCAAGTGTAAAACGAACAACGACAACAAGTCGACATGGAGTGCCAAGCGGCGCCGGGTGTGTTCTGAGTCCAGAGGCTTTTTCAACAAAGTGTCCAAGGTAAGCGATTTGGTGATTTTGAAGAGTTAAGGCAGATTGCAAGGTCGGAGGACACCTCCAAAATCGTTTAAACTGTGTCTATGTGTATGTAAAATACATACATTTATAAAGAAAAACAAAACATAAGAGTAACTCTAAACAATCCATTCACACTTGGTGGGAAATTGCTGTAACTTTTATCAACTTGTTGTGGCCATCATTGCATGAACTCACCATAAAATCACCCCATCGTAGTCTCAGATCTCTTTTCTCGCTTAGTACAGGCAGGTAATTGGAAGGCGCATCTATGGTAGGTCCTGTTTCTTTTCTTTTCTTTGTTTCCCATTCTGCCTTTTTCCCAGCGTTAACTGACTTTTATTGTTTCGATCAGCTTCTCTAATTTTACCTCAAACAAAATCGCTTCCTCGAATACCCTGGATGTTACATAACCTCATTTGCACCTGGTCAATCTCGAAGAGGATGTTCGTGAAATCAAATTCATATAATCCTTTCATTTCACCCTCTCCCACAGACTGTTGGCTGCTGTCTCAACAAAATTGCAAAGGATCAGGGGAAGTACAAATTTCCATCAAGAAAGGACCTGTTCGTTCCAGATATCGGTATGGGCAGGTAAGGTCCAATTTCTTGGTGAAACAATGACTTGTCTGTTAACTGTATGTTCTTGGCCTAGGTATTTTTATCCCCCCCCCCCCCCATCTTTTTGGGGGGTCCAGTTTTATCTTTGTCAGTCCTTCTTATACTGTTCTGCGTTCATATATTTTTTTAAAGCTCAACAACATTCTAAAACGTTGTCATTATTGTCATTAATTGTGTATGTGTATCCCTGTATGTTTGATGTATCCCTGATATCTCTTCTCCTTATCATTGCTCTCTCCCTAAAATCTGCCCTTCACCCTGCCACCCCCCCAATGAATGAATGAATGAATAAATGAATGAATGAATGAATAAATGAATGAATGAATGAATGAATGAATGAATGAATGAATGAATGAATGAATGAATGAAATACGAAATACAAACCGACTGCTAACTCCTTGTCACAACCCCGCCACCAACATTGCTCTCATATAGCTCCAATACACCTTTCCTGATACTTAGATCGTCAATCTTATAGTTTAAAAATCTCAGGAGCATCTGCGCACTTTGAGCAAAGCCTTTAACCCTATCCGTATGTTGTGTTTTACTTTTGTATCCGTACGACGTGGGGAACTCTTTGCTACCACTTCCCAACGAGGAAATTTACTCGTTAATCCGATCCGTACGCTTTGCATAGCAGTCTGTCAAAATGATTTTTTTTTTTTTTTAGAAATACTGAAAAAGAGATCTTCGCACAAGAAGTATTCTAAGATGTGAAGAATACAACCCCGGGGGTACAAAATGACCCCAGCGCGTACGGATATGGTTATATGTCCTCAATGAAGAGCGCCATTGGTAGGCCCTACATCATTTCTTTCCGTCTCCTGTTCCTCTGAATTGGTCGTATTTCTTTTTCCCTCGCTTAACGTACATTATGATTTCAATGTGAATCGTTTTAATGAACCTCAAAACTCAAGCCCGTTATCTTCTTCAGACTTTCTATTGTCACTTCTCCTTAGCTTCAAAACTGCTCTTTCTTTGCTATCAAACATCTATCAACCTTAACTCTACTTTTTGAGTACTCTTTAGTAGCACCTCTGATATTCAGCACCAGGCATGCTTATCTCACTTTCTTTTGCCACTCTCCAATAAGATATAAAACCTCTAATCTTCAGCAAATATTGAGAACCTATTCGATTTGCTACTGCCGTGAAACTTTTACTGAAACGAACTAAATTAACGCTAATCGTCTCTGACTGCCTATCTGTTTTTCGGGGTTCAGCGAACAGTGAGTAGAGTTGTTTTTTTATTTCTCTGTCTGTCTGTCTGTCTGTCTGTCTGTCTGTCTGTCTGTCTGTCTGTCTGTCTGTCTCGCTGTCTGTCTATCTGTCTGTCTGTCTATCTGTATGTATGTCAGCTCTTACTAAAAAGAACTAAAACAAACTTCCATCTTATGTGGTCCATTGTATCTCCTCCCAGGCACTGGATTTACCCGCCAGATTCTCAGCCAGACATGTCTCTATTTGATCAAGGGCGTAGACTGGGGAGGGGTCAAGGTCAGCAGGAAGCCGGTCACGTCTCTGATGACGACACATCCCAGATGTTTTCCGCCACTGAGGGCTCTCTCCGGGACGACGCCGGCGGGAGGCAGCGAGGAGCAAAGCGTACTGTGTCTACTCGTCGTTTTGTCTGTCTTGTCTGTCAGTCTGTCTTGTCTGTCAGTCTGTCTGTAATAATAATAATAATAATAATAATAATAATAATAATAATAATAACAAATTGCATTTATGTAGCGCATTTCCACAAAGAAGTGCTCAATGCGCTGTACAATAATATAAAGAACATTATGCAGCGCACAGCTCCTATAGTAATCCTCTTTCTCTCTCTCTCACTCTTTCTCTGTCTCTCTGTCTCTCTGTCTCTCTGTCTCTCTGTCTCTCTGTTTCTCTCTCTCTCTCTCTCTCTCTCTCTCTCTCTCTCTCTCTCACTCTTTCTCTGTCTCTCTGTCTCTCTGTTTCTCTCTCTCTCTCTGTCTCTCTCTCTCTCCCTCTCTCTCTCTCTCTCTCTCTCTCTCTCTCTCTCTCTCTCTGTGCGTGTGTGCCTGTCTGTCTATGTGTCTGTTTGTCTGTCTCTTGGAAGACAGCACGCAAAGTGCACCGAGTATGTCGTTTTATGTCTGTCCTAATAATATTACGAAATATCTGTATGCCTCTCCATATTTGTGTATATTTGTGTATATTTATAGTAACTGTGTGTGTGTGTCTGTCTGTCTATCTGTCTATCCATGTGTCTGTCTATTCATACTATTAATCCAGTCTGTTTGTCTCTCAGGCGGCATTTTAGCAAACAGTAATGTGTTTATCTGTCGTTTTATTGTTTTATATGGCCTCCCATATGGAAACCATTTATCTAAATATGTGTCTGTCTATCTTTTTGTCTGTCTATCTTTGTGGGTGGTTGGCGGGTGTTCTGGTGTGTTGTCCTTCTTCTTTTGTATCAAACATCTATCGCCCTTATCTCTCCTCCTTCTTTTTATGTTTGTTACTCTCTTGTAACACCTCTAATCTTCGGCACTTATATGACCTTATTGCGTTGCAGGAGCCGTAAAAACTTACTAAAACTATCTACCTTTCTATTTGTTCATCTGCTTGTGTATCTGTCGGTCTATCTATATGTGTGTCGACATATCCATGTGTCTGTTTGTTTGTCTGTGTCTGTAAGTTTGTCTGTCTGGTTGTATGCATGCACGTATGTATGTCCCCTTATCTAGCCATGTGTATGTCTATCAGCCCATATGTATGCCTGTCTGTCTGTCTGTTTGACTGTCTGTCTGTGTGTCTGTCTGTTCAGGCACTTACACCTTTCTCCGTTTAATGTTAACTTGAAGTATTAATGCCACATACTTTGTCTTTAATCCTTTGAGGACGCAGCAGATAGAAAATAATACGCCGATTAACAACTAACAACAGACCAAAGGCAATACAACTGCACGTTTCGAAATATTATATATAATATAAACACAAATCAGAAACACCTGTTTGCATATTTCATGGTTTGCATGTTAAGTTGCCTGCCTTATAAAGTTTTATAAATAATATAAAGAAACAGAATTGAACAATTGTTTCGGAACGTTACACTCTTTTTTCTAAGGGCCCCCAAAACAACGCTTCCTTCTTTAAACGTTGTGGAATGACCAGAATGCTCTTATTATTATTATTATTATTATTATTATTATTATTATTATTATTATTATTATTA